GCCTGAAATTTCAACATCTGATAATACTTTCAGGATTAATTTCCATACCACTGGCTGAACATTTTATATTCAGGCTTTCTGAATATTAAAGTGACGTTGGGTAGTACAAAGTATGTACAGAGGCTCAAACTTCTTGGGGTGGAGGGAAATTGCTGTGCGAAATAGACACCAACCCCCTGAACTTTTTCTTTATTGAATATCCCATCTTTTTTTCTCCTAATGGGCATAAATGGTTCTTTCCTTCTCTCTTTTGTATCTGCACAACAACCCTGTGATGCAGGCTAGGCTGAGAAAGGATCGCTGGGTTGAGGTCACCAAGTGCATTTCCTGCAGAAGTGGGGGATTTGGATTGCTTCCCTCACCCACTCCTGATTCATAGTTTGACACTCTAACCACTAGGCCACACTGGTGTACACGTCTCCAGAGGACAAGTGGAAATCAAAAGGACGCCCATTCCTCCATTGCCTCTTCAGGACCAGAAGGGTTGAGGGTGAGGCCACATGGCCCATTTCATAGAAGGGACCTCAAGGAAGGGTTATCTAGTCCCACCCCCCTGAAGTCTCTACTGTCTCCTGGGTTCTGGGGCTGGAGAGAATGGGATGCAATTTAGAGCCCAGCTAGGAAGGCAGGACTCAAGTGAGGGCAGACTCTGGGGCACACACAATAATGATTGGCCTGTCAAGCCACACCACATTACTTTTCTCCACTCTTTTAAAACAATGGCACATTAGATCTTCAGGGCAAACACAGCTCTACTTGGTGAAGACCCACCTGTGTGGGTCACCTCCCTGCTGACCATACCTGATCTCTGTCTCTCCTAGGGTCTCCCCTTCCCTCAGGTGCTGGTTTCCACCCAAGATTATTCCCGAGGCCCTGGGGTAAGTATGTGCTTCGGAGGTTTCCCACCTGTTCAGTTTAATGCTGTATTCCTAAGCTTTCAATAACAGAGGCTCGCCACTTCCTGAATTAAAAACCTGAGTACTGAAAGGTTCGCCCTGAAAGACTGGGAAATTATCTGCTCTCGGAGGAGCCTACCCTCTATTTCTGCATGAGTCACTGTTCTGGGCATGTCTCCCCACCCAGTGGCAGGTCCATTTGCCACATCCCTGCATCAGGAATGATGGAATGATACAATCTCACGTAATGCTGAGAGCTGCGTAACAGCTATCCACCACCCGTGGAGTCTGATTGGAAAGTGGCAGGCTCTGAGTGGTGAGTCAGAGATGCGAACAACCTTACTTGAAAGTGGGCCTTTCAGATCCCTATGATCTTTTTGCACTGTGGGTGATCTGATGATCTGATTGTCCCCAGTGCTGAAGAATTACCTGCTCCAGCAAAGGCGGGGGGGGGGGGGATGCCAACCAGAGCATTGGTAAGGGTAGGTAATTCTGCATTGGGAGGGTTTCTGTGGTTCAATTGCCAGTGTCTAACATGGGCCAGAGTGGTGACTCATGGAGAGATGTACTTTGGGCTCCTGAGAGGTTTTAGTTTCATTCATTTCCTCTGGCATGTGGCTTGAAAATTACCAGCTTAATGTTTTGTTTAGTTTTAACGGTGGAGTCCTAGTTCTTGTCCTTCTCTTTCATGGAGGGCATTCCCCCCCCCCCCCGGTAAATTAAGGGACTTGGACAATGGCAGAGAAAAGGCAGGGGGGAAATAAAGGAGCTTAGTGGGTCAACTTGCTAGGAAAAGCCATTTGGATTTGAAGGCAGAGGAGAAGGACTGGTGACTTGCTTTGCGACCCCGTCGTTGCTGTCATTGGATGAGAAGCTGATGTTGCACAAATCCTGCTTTTAATGGGATGCAAGATAAAAGGGTGGCTTTGAGCTGCCCGCTTCTCTTCCGCTCTCTTTCATGTTCACACTAGGAAAGCTTCCCCGCTTCACTCGAGCTGCTTACCAGTGCATTTTTTAGCTTCATTCTCTTCTCATGGTGGTCAGTTGATTTGGAGTGGTTTGAGAGTTGGCCTGTGACTGGGGAAGCCTGGGTTTGACTGCACACTCAACCAAGACAATCCATCGGTTACCTTGGGTGTCTTCAAAAATATCACACACGTGTACCCACTGTCAGACTGAAGTGGTATATGGAAAATTTAGCTGAGTGTCCCATTCTGCATTATGTCTGGATCAGCTCTTAATTGCAACACCCTGCAGCTGCTTGCTTTAGGAATTCATCCATTCCAGGCATCTCTACGTGCCTGTTCTGGAGAACAGAATAAACTCTTTTCTTCTCTCCATCCCTTACCTTGCATCAGAAGAGCGAGCAGCAGTGATGCTTCCTACATAACACTTATATTTTCATTTCAGCTGTCAATATCCCAGCTCTCTGTGCCTCCAGTGAGCTGCTCCTCCAAAACCCCATCGCAGCCATCTGGAGGGGCTCTGCCATCCCAGTCCTCGGAGGCTCTGAGGCAGCTGCAGGAGGTAAAGGTTTGGACAATGCTGTTGCCCCAAGAGCTTGCAAAGACTCTCAAGTGCCCCTCGTGGGCCACATCAACCCTTTCTCTACCAAGCAGCATCACCAAATATTCTGGGGCAGTCAATTTTTATTGTATATAGCCAAAGGCCTTTACAATGGGCGACAAAAAATAAAAGGAAAACTTTCATCTAAAATCATAGAACGTAACCTGTAGCAGTTTACAGCATAAAAAGAAATTTACAACATTAAGACTTAAGATTGGAGTGCATTCACATAGCTGGAACGGAACTTCTTGGCTGCCAGCACAAATTTGGCTACCTGGTGGGTAATGTACAGATGTTTATCTGCTAGGAGTTCAACTGTCACTTCCTGTGAGGATTGACCTGGAAGCCAATTAAGAATTGGCGATATAAATTTTCCTCTGGGCATTGTATACGGAGGGCAAATCAGCAGGTAGTGTGTGATGTCTTCTACCTGGTTGCGATCCATATGGGGAATTCCCCGATATCTCCCCTCTAAACATGCTGAGGGCATCTGTTGGAATCTTAGTTCTACAAAGGCCCTGTGTAGTTGTGGGAAAGCCAGAGTTTCAAGGTAATGGTGCCTTGAGTGATTGGTCTTAATTTGGGGGTACCAAGTGGAGTAACAGGGCTGCAATGATGGATGCTCTGTCTTGGTTGGCATTCTGATCAAAAAATCCAATTTCTAAGGTCATATGGGCTAAGGACTAAGTAGTTCTCCATTTGAAGCCTATAAGCCCTAAGCTTATCATGGCACTTTTGTGCCCAGCCCCCTTTTCTTAGTTGATCTAACCAGCAGAGCTTAGTAAGAGTATGATCCTCGAAGGCATTGAGCCTGTGCCAGTATCTCAGATAGGCTAGATCATGGGTAGGCAAACTAAGGCCCCGGGTGCCAGATCCGGCCCAATCATCTTCTAAATCCAGCCCGCGGAGAGTCCGGGAATCAGCGTGTTTTTACATCAGTAGAATGTGCCCTTTTATCTAAAATGCATCTCTGGGTTATTTGTGGGGCATAGGAATTTGTTCATTTCCCCCTAAAAAATATAGTCCGGCCCCCCGCAAGGTCTGAGGGAGAGTGAACCGGCCCTCTGCTGAAAAAGTTTGCTGACTCCTGGGCTAGATCAATTCTGGCTGCTAGCAAAGGGAGGCCCAACTCAGTTCTGAGGTGGGCTGGCAGTCTCCCGTATTCTGGGGCATGTTATTGTGCTTAGACACTGAGCGCGGTCCTAATCTGTTGTGCCTCCCCATCACCCTGTGGGAACCAACAGTGCATCTTGAACATCCAGTTCGCACTGGATCTACCATTGAGCAAGGTGAGACAGCTTTTGAGGGGCAGGGAGTGGACAGAGCCTCTCTTGTGCACGCTGAGCTAGCTTGCTGCCCTTTGATGCAGTGGAGGACTGTGTCTTTTGCTGCCAGTGTTGAAATAAGACCCAGTCATTGGTCTTTGCTGGCTCATGTATTTGGAATGGGGGGGAGGGGAAGCACTGCCTTGCCCTTCATCTCAGAGCTGGCCCTGCATCCAGTAGCCTTCAGGCCCTACTTGTGGGATATCCAGAGGCACCTTGTGTTACTTTGGAAGGTGCTGGACTCTCCTTCATTGGAGGTTTTCAAACAGAGGTTAGGTGGCCATCTGTCAGGGCTTCTTTAGCTGTCATTCCTGCTTTGCTGGGGTTGAACTATTTGACCTTTGGGTGCATTCCAACTCTACAGTTATATGATACGATGCTTTGTTCTGTCTGCGCACAGCCCTCTATGCATCCAACCACAGGCATGTGTCAGCCAGCTTGCCTGTTTTGGATGAACATCCCTTTCCTTTTCCCCTTTGCAAGCAGGATAACCCCCGTGGAGCCATCACCCACTTGGAGTCCAACCTCAGCTACAGCTCGCTGGCCCAGGAATCTCCCACCGCAGATCAGCTCCAGGAGCTGCCCTTCACACCAGTGCACGTGCCCATCATGGCCCTGGGGCCGCACTCAGAAAGGTGAGGTTGTGCAGGAAGGAGGCAGAGCTAGTCACCTGTTGGTTGGCCCTGACACAGCAGACAGGATTGTGGGGTGTGGCTGATTGACATGGAGAGGAGGACGGTGAGCCCTCATTTCTGCTGTTGAGGAAGTGCTGCTGAAGACAGCACAGCCTCATTGGCAGCAATAAGACAAAGCAAGGGCTTGTTGGTTTGGGTGGGGAGGAAGCCAGAGAAGATTTCAAGGGGCGATGAGGAAGCCTCCTCCACCTCCCCTTTCATGTAAGCCAGGGATGGGAAGCATTCTGTGGTGCCCCAGGTGTCACTGGACCCACATAACCTTGGCTCCCATCTTGAGGACAGTGGCCTGGTAGAACGTACAGATATTGTTTTGCAAAACAAATGATCCAGCAAGGCTTTTTAAGGAGCCAGATGGGAGTAGAATCCCTCTTACCTGCTCTCTGCAGAAACACAAGTGCTGGGCACCTCCCCAAAGCTTTTGGCCACTGGACACCTAGATATTTACACACTTGCTCTTAAGGCCAGCTGATTTCCCCAGATATGTGCTAGAGGGGGAAACGCTTAGGCTGAGAGTCTGTTGGCAGCACCCGGCTTCCCCCAGACTCAGCTGCCTGCCTCTGCTTCAGTCCTAGCACTGGCCTTACGCGGGCCGCTCTCGCCCGCTTGCGTGCATCGGGATTCCCTCAGCTCCTGGACTGCAACAAGGAGCCTGTCCAAATTGTGGACCCTGTGGACCCTGTGAACTTCATCCCACAGCGGGAAGAAGCTGACCTCCTGCAGAACAATGAAATCATCCTGCAGTTTCTTGCATTTACCAGGTAAAGCCTGTTTCTGGGGTTCAAGACAGGTCTGAGTCCAGACATGGGAAGGCCTGGGAAAAACTGGAAAAAATGGGGGGACACCCAGGGTCCCCCCCTCATTTTTTTCCATTGCTGTTTTTTCCCGGGGGGGGGGGAGTGTGTGGAATATTCAAACTATATCAAACTGTTTTTTACAATTTTTCTGGGAAAAAAAAGGCTTTGGGAAAAACTGCCCCCCCCCCCATTTTTCTGGTTTCCTCCCCAGGCCTTCCCATCTCTATGACTGACTCAATGCTTTTGAGGTAGTTTTGGTTTTGTTGTTATCAGAAAAAAAAACTTGGATTTTGCAATAGTTTTGAGCTGCCTCAAAAATGGCACTGTTTTCCTTCCGAGCCCTGGACACCTAGCATTTTGCACAAAAAGCTGTGCTGGAAGCAACAAACAACTGTGTTATGATGGTTGCTTTGTTTTTAAGGCTCCAGAGAGCCATGTAGTTCCTGAACTAGCTGACAGGGAACCCAGCTGAGGGAGGCAGTGCTGCGTCTCTGAGCTCGTCCACAGGGACTAAGTCTTGGAGGAAACGCAGGCATTTCAGATTCATTGTTTACAAGTTTTGCATGACTATTTGCCAAATAATTCCCCTTCATTAAACAGGGAGATTTCTTCAGGCAATGTATGAAGATTTGGCCCAGCTCTTATTTGTCCATAAGGGGGAAAAGAGACATCCTTATTTCTCATATCTCTTTTCCTCAACCAGTCTCTACTGATCCAATCCATCCACTGTGAGTGTGTGGAAGTGTTTGGTTAACACAAAGGAAGAAATATAATAAGTAGAATAGCCTGTAGGGATAGCAGAAGACCCGTTTGAGAGGTTGCTCTGTTTCTTCAACATGCCTTTTTGCATTGTATTGAAAACCTTCCTCTATCAGCATCAGACTCCTGTAACGGTATCATTCAGAAATTAAAAATTGCTCTCGTGTTTCCAAATGTGTCTACCCAGACTTAAGGTCTATGGACTTGTGGTTTTTTTTATGCAGGGGAGGAGGAGGCTGGGGGATGAGCACCAAGATTCTCAAGGATTTAATTCCAGGTGTTCTAAGGAATAGCTCCAATAGCCAGTCCAGACAGGTAGATCATGCAAGGTGTGCCAAGGCACACAAGTCTTTGTTAGGTGTGTAGCAGGGAGAGGTTCCAGTGATGCAGGGAGTTGTCAGAATGACCAATCCCCCAGCTGAGGTTGATTGGAGGTAGGCAAGGTCAGAGCAGTGACTCAAGCTGAGACAGAGCAGGCAGCCTCTGCTGTAGGAAGGCAGGTCCTCTCTCTCAAAAACCTTTAGCTTTTCAAAGAATTAGCTAGCCATCCTTTGAGAGGTGCCCTTGGCCCGGCCAGTACATACCCTGGGAATTGGTGACTCATGGCATAGGGATTTAAATCATCAGGATTTAATTGTCTTCTGTCCCTTTCGGTTGTTGTTAAACAAGGGCTGCAGAGGACAGGACAGCCTTGGAGACGTGGCCCAAAACCATCTATTTCACCTTCCAGTTCTACCGCTTCCCTCCAGTCACAACTCCTCGATTGCAGCTGGTCAATGTAGATACCTCGAAGGCAGCTCCATTCATTTCATCTTCTCACATCTTGATGCAAATCAAGGAAGATGGGACCCTGAACCTTGGTAAGGCCTGAGGGGAACAGATGGGCAGGAACTTATTTCTACCCTCCAGTCCTTCCCCATGGTTCCCTTAGTCAGCTGCCTTCCCTAGTATCCCTCCTTAGTCTGTCGCTCTCCCTTAGATATATCTTCTTACCTTTCTTCTCTCTTCCTATGAGCCAAGAAGCTCCACAAATGGTATTTGGATGCCTTTAGAATCAAAGCAGCTTAGTTAAACACTGACAAAGGCTCTCTCTGATGTCATAGCAATTAGGCCTGCAGTGTGTCCATAAGGAATATCTCTAAACCTTTCCTACAGTCACTTGAACATCACAGCTATCACATGTATCTCTCTGTTTCTGAAGGGAGGGAGGGAGAGAGGCTACCATACTAGAGAGTGTGAATTCCAGGCAGACTTGAATCCAAGCTGTCTCTCCAGTTTGAAAAATGAGGCCCTCCAAGAAGGATCATTCCCAATTCAGAATGCAGCACTCAGAGCCGGCTCCGAGCTTGTTGCAGCATCCCCCAGGGATGAAGTCTCAAGCTGCGAGTCAGCAAAATTCTCCTTTCCGCCGTGAGCCTGATGGAAGTGGAAGCTGAAGGGACACCTGCGAGCGAGGTTAACTCCAGTTTTTAATAGGTCAATGGCACGTATATCAACCGACTCCCAAGCACAGATAGCAAGAATTAGAATCTGCTATGCTGTTGAGCCATCATTCCTTCAGAACAGAAGTGTAGCTAGTAAAGCCGACCATTTGAGAGGCTTCAGATACTGCCTTGGTGTATTGTAAATTCTCCCTTTCTGCCTTTAAAACAGTTTTGGTTTTCAGGTTGGAGAATTAGGTCATTGACATATGTGCAAGCCACGTTTTACTCCCATCTCCCAGATGCCTGTATTCCCAGTTCATTTAGCACTGTGTTTCTGATCTACTTGAAAACAGGCATGGAGGTTGAGTGGGTGTTTGAACTTAATAGCGTAAGAACCTGGGAAGAGCCTTCTAGACCAGGCCAAAGGAGGCCCATCTAGTCCAGCATCCTGTTTCTCACAGTGGCCGACCAAGATGCCCCAGGGGAATCCCACAAGCAGGACCTGAGCACAAGAGCGCTCTCCCCTCTTGTGGCTTCCAGCAACTGGTATTCAGAAGCATCACTGCCTCTGACCATGGAGGTAGAACATTGTTAGTAGCCATCAATAGCCCTCTCCTCCATGAATTTGTCTAATCTTTTTTTTAAAGCCACCCAGATTAGTGGCCATCACTGCCTTCGGGAGTCAACAGATCCTATGGAGGGAGTTCCATAGTTTAACTGTCTGCTGAATGAAGAAGTATTTTCTTTTATCTGTCCTGAATCTTCCACAAGTTCTGGTGTTATGAGAGACAGAGGAAGACTTCTCTCTCACCATTCTCTCCATGCCGCGCAAAGTTTCATAACCTTTCTTCACAGGGGAGTCGCTCCACTGCTATGATCATTTTGGATGCTATTTTCTGATCCTTTTTCAACTCTGCAATATCTTTTTGAGGGAGCAACCAGGACTGTGCAGAGGGCTAAATGAGGACGAAGACCGGGCAGAGAGCAGGGTTCAAATCACCCCACCTGGCCAGAGACAATCCCTGGGTGCTCCCTTGGGCCACCTCGCCCTGACCCACCTCGCAGGCTGTTGTTGCGAGGATAACCACGGGGAGAACCACAGCGCGCCCCCCGGGAGCTCCTTGGAGGAGAAAGCGGGCAATGAATGCAATGCACGAATATATGAGAGCGACCAGGTTTTTGCAGGTGAGGGGGCCCCCGCCAGCCTCCGCTTCCAACACCCGGCGCAACACGATGCCGAAGTTTCCCCCGGGCTTGGCTCGGGGAGCAGCGCTGCTCTCCCCCCGGCTCCCCTTCGCCCTCCCGGCTCTCTCTGCCCGCCCACTGGGGACCCCCCTCACCTGCCAAGTCCGGAGCGCCGGTGGAAGTTGCATGGCTGCATGCAGGCGCCGCGTTGCCATTGCATCATGCACTGCACTCCATGCAACGCCTGCACGCATGCATTGCCTTGCACACCCCCAAGGGGTTTCCCGCGGTCCGATGCTTCCCCTCCGGGCGCGGATTGCAGCATTGCAAAAATAAAAAACCCCCCGACGCAGCCCTACCACCTGGGGGCAGCCCTCCGCCGCTCCGCCTCCGGCGGGAATCCCCGGGCTCCATCCTGCCGCACTCCGAATCTCCGCGGGGCGCAGGCAGGGCTGCGCGGGGTCTGCGCGGAAGAGCCCCTGCCCGCGCCGGCTGCCGCCGCGTGGCGCTCATTCCATGGCCGGGAGAAGAGCGCTCTCAAACAAAAAACGCCCGGCCCGCCAGGCCACGCTGGGAAACGTAGTTCGCGCACCCCGCGCGGGCGCGGAGCCCAAGGCGATGGGACTACGGATCCCGGCAGCCCCTCGCGCCGGGGAACGGGAGGGGGGAGAGGCCGGTTGTTGCAGGGATGGAGGACAGGTTGGCGCGGAGCGAGTGAGTGAGTGGCAGCCGCCAAGCCTTGGCCGAGAGCCAGGAAGGGGCCTCCCCAGGAGGAGGAGGAGGGAGCGCAGAGCGGGAGGGAGGGAGGGAGGGAACCCCAGGGGTCAATCTAGTGACGGCGCCCAATCGAAAATTTGACTTTTAAAAAAAAAAAAATCTTTTCAAATTTTTTTAATTTTTCCCGCGGCACACCAACCAGGCAACATCATCGCGGCACACTAGTGTGCCGCGGAACAGTGGTTGGGAAACACTGGTCTAGTGGAAGTATTCTTTATTCAACCCAATGCATTTCAAGATTGGAATGTTCTTCTACAAGGGGCACTCTGACAGCATAACTAGTTTCAGACTTTCGGTCTCAAATCTCATTGCACATTATTTCCAGACAATGACCAGACAATAACCTGTGTCAGGAATGTGCATAAGTCATAGTGTCGATTCCAGACAGCTTGCTGTTCACAGTGACTACTGCTCTTGCTTGCAAGGAATAATGTTCCTCCTTTGACACCATGATTTAATCTAGGCACACATGCATTGGCTTGTAGCTCCCAACCTACACGTTTTCAACTCAGAACTAACTTAATGGAACAAAGTGTCTCTTCCTCCCCAGGTTTATCCTCACCCAAACCCTGTGCGTCAGGTCACATTGGGCGGCTGAGTGGACTTGTGAGTTGCTGATGGCCACAGCAGGAATTTGAACCCCTGGCTCCCTGGTCCCACTCTGACACTCTAGCCACTAGACCCACACTTGTTGCTTCACCCTGCTGCACAGGTAGGCTGGCCCTGTGTTGTCTAAGCTAATAAAACCACAACTACGCAACAACAACCCTGCCAATTTTCTGAGACCAGGTCGGGTCCCAATTGTTTGCAAACCTGGTCCTGTGACCCGGTCTCAATTATACAACTTGAGCGCATCTTGCATCAGCAGTGCTCCTTTTTTGCATAATTTATTCGCCAGCTGTTGCTATATTAGCAGATACATATCCTTCTGTATCGCTAGTCTTTGCAAGGGGGCTATTGTATCGCGTCCAGCGAAGCACTTCCTGAACTGCTGAAAACCTCTTTATTCAGACAACTGGACAGCCTACCTAGCTTTCACTTAGGGTTTTCTGGATCCCCTCTGTCAAACCACCTGTGCACATGTTTTTGGACTACAGTTCCCAACAGCCCCAGCCAGCATGTGTGTCTGGCCACTGATTGGCTCGGACCAGGTTGGCAAAGACTGTTCCAGAAGGTAGTCTTGTTCATTATGGACTACATCCTCTTTTTGTTTCTTTCAACAAATGAAGCTAATTTTCAGAAGAGCTGATATATTCTTGGCAAGTCAATTGCTCTGGGGCTTCTCCTGCTCTGCTCCCGCTCGTCCAAATACCACCAAGACAGAAACAATGGATTTTTTTCTAAGAGGGATGAATTTCCCATTTTCTGGACAATAACACAATGCATCTGCTTGTTTCTTTGCATAGATCAGGATGTGCTTTGATGCTGCTATTTTTTTTGCATGTTCGGATGGAAGAGTTCCTTTTTATTGCCTTAGTTTCTCTCTTACTGATTAAGAGACTTGCTCTCTTCTCACCTCCTCTGTTTGCTTTTCTCTCCTCCTCTGGAAAAAGCAACTGCATAATGAGCTACACTACGGTGGCCAGGCTGCTTTTGATTAATGGAATACCCAGAGCAACTTCTAAGTTTTAATGTTTGTGTTTTCAGCTCTCGCAATTTAGAAGCGGTAATGACCCCAAGGATGCGCCTTGTTGATTTGTCAGATGGCGCAGTGATTTTCAGAGAGGAGAATGATAATACTTTAATATCCAGCAGTGCACTCTGGGGCAGCTTTCATTTTTATTAGCTAAGGACATCCTGCCTAAATTACTTTTCCACCCCCTCTCTACAATACATTGGTATATCGCGGGTTAAAAATGCCGTGGCATTTGATAAGTTGGCCGGGCCCTTACTCTGGGTCTGTTTCCTGTGCATTTGAATATAAAGGAAAGGACAGCAAGCTGGATTTTCATTTTCCATCAGCCCTGCTGTAAGACAAGCCGCATCAGGCCTTCTCGCCCTTAGCTATCACCCAGCCATCAGCCATTCCTGCAGACTACAACAGTGGGAGGATGGGTTGCAGAGCCCATCTCATTGGCTCTCAGTCAAGTGCCTCCAACATGTTCCTGGAATGTTTCTATTCTGGCGGTGTCATGAAACACGGGCTGTCCTTAAGACAGCTTAGAAACTTCAATCGGTTCTAAAATGCAGCAGCCAGGTTAATGGCCGGGCCTCTGTTTAGATATCATATAACCTTTGTTTTAAAGCAGCGCGACTGGTTGCCTGTTTGTTTCCGGTCCCAATTCAAGATTGCGGTAAACAATCTAGGCCCCAAAATCTGAAAGATCCCCACTTCCTACGAACTCTTGGGTGCTGAGTATAGTGGTACCTCGGTTTATGAACTTACACGTTTCTGAAGTCCTTCTTAAACCCAAATCTTTCTTAAACTGAGGCACGCGTCTTCCTAATGAGGCCTCCCGCCACCGGTGCACTTCCACTGTTCAGCTTCCATTTGTAGATC